ACACTCTGGCTGGCTACCAGAGTGTCTCTGTGGAGGAATGAGCCTCCAGTTGCCTCAGGCATGGCCCTGGACTGTGCCCTGCCCCACTTTTTCCCCCCAGGGTATTTTTTGACCCCTGGTTATCCAGGGGTCTAATGCAGGGAATGTTGTCGTTGTTTTTTGGTGGTGTTCCCACACGTGCCTCTTGCAGCCTCTCAAAGGGCTTTGAGAGGCTGCAAGAGGCACTTGCGCACTTGTCTGAATGTGCCCTGTGAATGCAAGCCCAGAGTCTGCCAAGGCCTGAACAGGGGACCCAGAGCCAAAAGAGAATGGTCAGAGTTGGGACCTGGGATCTTGTGGTCCTGGAACAGCATACCCCAGGCTAAAGGACCTAGCCAGAGTAAAATCAGACAAGACCAGGAAGGCCTTAGCCCAAAGGCTTACCATCCAAAACTCCTTTTGCCCTCTAAGACCAGACTCCCTGTCAATTTGTAACATCAAAGCATGGCAGGTGAGACAACAGCGTGGAGGACCCTGAGGGCGCATCCAGATGAGATACCAATTAGCTGGGCCTCAGAAGCTCCTATGAGCGAGTAGCCCTGAGGTACTTGACAGGGCAGCTTTTTGTACTACTGGGGACAGCATAGGTGCTGGCCCTGGGCTCTAGCTCCCCCTGGCTGCAAATCCAGGCAAGGTTATTTTGCCCCAAGTGGCACAATTTGCCCCACACCAAAGTGCATGTCTGGGCACCTGCACTGAGGCAAAAAGCACCGGCTCAGATTTGCACCACTTCTATTTGAGCTGCTGCAAATGCACGTGCTTGCATGTGTGGACACGCCCTGAGAGGCTAAATGGAATAACAAATTGGGGGGCCCCAGCAGAAGCCAGGAGAAGGAGGCTTTGATTCCCCTGCACTGAACATGTTAAAGGAGGCTTGGGGAGGGGTGGAAAGTATCACTAGTTTCAAGGTCTAGAGCAGTGGTGCTCAACCTCCAGCCTGTGGAACCATATCATCCAGCCCATTGGCTTCCCCAGGAAAGCTGGCAGCAGGGGAAGCAGCAGCAGCATTAATTGCCACAACTTACAGAGCCATGGCAATTAACGCTGTCACTGCTTCCCTGCCTCCAGATTTCTGGACCCAGTGGGAAGCTTCGTGTGAAGCAACATGACCTATACACCAGATCATGCCAGTATGCAGCATCACTAAGGTGTTGGGTCTGGTGCACGGGGTTGGGCCAGCACATGAGGTCACTTGGCAGCTGGGTCTGGTGTATGGAGCTTGGCCAGCATACCAGACTGACCTTACACATCAACCCCATGCTAAATGCAGCCCATGGACTGTCTCGGAGCCACACATGCAGCCCATAAGTTTGAGTATCACTGGCCTAGAGAGTCGGACTGTAGCATGCTAAATAGAGGGTTTGCACTGAGTGTGCATGTAAGCATAAAACCTGGCACCAGGAGTGGAGTCTATCTAGCCAAAGAAGATATGAAATCCAAGCCATGGATCAGGCTTATAGAAGCCTGATAAGCATTCACAAGGAGGTGCTGAGCCAGAGTTATGATACTGACACTTTCAGTGTTGGCTGTGTAAGCCACTTTTTTCCCTTTGCTCATCACAATCTAAATAAAGACAAACTCATTTGAGGTGCTTCATTGTCATACCCCATTTGACGTACTTTAGAAGATTGTTTCTCGTGGACGATCACAAACGTTTGCAGAATGAATTCTGTTCTTTCAAAAGGTCTATTGATGGGTAAATGCCATAGATTTGCTCCCTAGTGTGTATCTGATTTGTATAAAATTGAACAGATTGCAGAAGGCGATCACATTATTATGGGTCCTGTCACGAAATGCTCATTTTAATCTTAACAGCCATAAAGACTTTGCTTGTAGAACTCCATTGGTAGTACTATGGCTGTAGTTTTGCTACCAAATTGACTCTTGTGAAACTCAAAAGAAATGTGCAAAAAATCAACCCAATTATGTGCTGCAAGAGTAGTTTGCATCTGTTTCTATATGCAAACGGCTAGCTAATAGATAAGGTAAAAATAGATGGCACTCAATAATATTTAGCATAATTAGTAGGTTTTGCAGGATCAATAAAACTTGTCTTCCCTCTGAGGGTTCTTGTCATGAACTGTGAATACAAAAGGTATGAGCATCAGGCTCTGAGGGCTAGGCATAAATCTAGGAGTCTGCAGTTTCTGAGTTCCAGTCTTCATTCTGACTTTCCCTGTGGCCTTGGTAAGTAATTTACAGCCAAATTTTTAAAAGTGACCGCTGATCTTGCATGCCTGTTTCCAGTTTTCCAACTTGACTGAGATGTCTTAAAGTGAAAGACCTTCCATTCTAGGGACTTTTAACCAAACATTGGGCTTTTAGTTTGACACAAAACACAAGTTTGCTTGTAGTTATAAGCCTCCACTATAACTAAAGGATAAGTTGTCATTTTGTGTTCCAATACACTCATGAAACCTGAAAAATATTGATATTTTAACTCAAAGCAAAGGAACCCTGGAGGCAAGAGACTGAGTCTCTCCTTCATCTCTCTGCCTCTGCTGGATTATTTGAGAGATTTCTCTAAGATTGCTGAAAGCCATTTGAGAAGTTCCTTTTAGCCATGCCAAGTCTGTGTTCACAAACGCAATTCCAGTATTTCTACTGAGTTTTATTACTGCAAGCAGCTTACATGGCTACACAGCAGGAAAGTTTAACCAGGAACAAGACAAACTTCCTTAAGCATCTTGTTTTGTTTGGCATTGCTCTTCCAGGTCACTTGATATGGAAAATACTTACTACTTTGGCTCTTTACAGTGAAGGATGTGTAAAGAAAAATTAAACAGAAGTAGAAAGTAATGTTTGACGAGACACATTGTATAAGCTGCAGCAAATCTTTCAAAGGCTATATTATTTTTTTTGTCCCTGAAACTTTTTCACCTTTCTTTTCTTTTTTTTTTTTTTTTTTGGGGGGGGGGGGGGGGGGGGAGGTATCTTTAGTCTTCAGTAGCAGAAATAAGTGATGCATGCAACTTTATTTACACAAATTATTAGGCTACCTGGCTGGTATCAACACCTGTGTAAAGCAAGAGCATTGTTGCAGATTCTAAGGTTTTCCCCAAGACTAGGGATCTTGGGTTTGGAGTTAGTCAAATGCTAGTGTAGACAATTATATTCCACTTCCCTTAGCTCTTTCACATGGTATTCAGTGACTTTCCTCTTCAGTGTTAAAGTGCTACTGCATGAAACCATGGTGCTGGGAGAAGTGTCTGAGTTGAGCCAGGCTCCTTATGTCATTGCACATACTTCTATGCCAGTGGAGTTCCACTGAACTTGACAGTATTATACCAGAATAACAACAGAGACGTGGGCTTATAATATTCCTAGATAAAAACCTTTATGATCAAGATGACAGTGCACATTATTGATTTGAAGGTAAAACTATTTATAAGAACATTGTAGTTTTAAAAGAAAAGAAAAGAAAAGAAAAGCAAGCATTAGTGATAAGCTTAAAAGAGATTGAACCATTTGGAAAATACAGAAACTTTCAGTTTAATAATATTCTGAGATCTTTCAAAATGAAAAGCAGTCCTCTAAGCTGTTATAAGATATTCTTGACAGAGGCACAGGGATGAGATCCCCATCCATGGCAAGAACGATGGCTTATCTGGTTCCCAAGCAGAAAATATTTCTCTCCATGCTGTCATGCTCCCAATGAGACAGTGCACTAGCTGTATATCACACATACATCAAAACTACAATACCTGGAAAAAGAATAGACCTTGGAGAGGTCAGTTTTTTACATCCATGTTAGAAATGGGAAGCCATTGTCACCACATTTGAAAACTTCCTGTTTTAAGCTGTTGAAGTTTGTTATTATCTCATTGAAATGGCCTGATACTACACTAACTTCCATTCTGTGGCATTTTGAGTGGGTTTTATTCCGTGTACATGGGATCTTTTTCTCTTCCCTACTGAATGGCCCAATTATGAATCAACCCCCCAAAAAATGTTAAAATGATGTTTGTAGCATTGCAGATACAGCATAGTTTTCCAGAGTTCAATTCTATTCATCCCTCTAATACCCCAAGCCTACATGAAATTGAGGTCATGGCAAGGGTAAAGCAAATTCCAAGTGGGAGAGTGAGAGCCTGGTGCAGAAGTAGAGATACCCTAGCCCTGAACTGCTCCTCAGTTGAGGTAACAGCATAGCTCCATTGACTTCCATTGTCACCAGAACACATCTGCTAATAGAGTTGCGAAGAGCAGATCTAGCAATCAAAGAGCTAGATCTGTAGCTATATTATGGATGCTGTGGACCATTGTAGCGGTGCTGGAGGCATGAAGGTAAAAGGGAGCTTGGCCCAGGGTAGCACAATCTCTCTTTGATGGCTCAGGCCTTATAGGCTGTTTGATATGTAGATGGTATGATTTAAGACATCTTACAGCATGAGATTCCTTTTTTGCCTGGAGGCTTTGATGTTTAGCAGCTGGCTTGCAATGTGGGTGAAGAAAAGCATGGATTGGCTTCCTTTGACTCATCCCTTTTTAGCAAACATGAGAGGAAGGGGAAGGAGAGGTATTTTGCCAGGCATTTAGTCCCATTACAATGGGATTCTTCACACCTGGAAGCAGAAGGGAGCTGGGGATATCTAGAATTTGTTGTAGATTGATCACATCACTGGGTCTGGAATGTCTAGCTATCCAAACTCCTCCTACACAGATTCAAGACTGAGTCATTCTGGGATTACAAGAGAAATTCATTGGCTTGCAGGAGTACAGAGACCCATGGGAGATCAAAATGACTGTGAGCTGAATTCTCTGTGAGTAGATTCTGCCTGGCAGGGAGGTAGCAACTTTCTGAAGTTACTGTCCCCAGATGCCCCAGGGAGACTAGTTCATATGTTGTATGCATGGGTGAGGGATGGGATTAGCAGGACAGAGTTTCACTAATCATTTGAAAGCTTTCAGGTTTCCCTTCCTTTTAGAATAAAGATGCTACAATAAGCCTAGCTGCTCTGTGTTGCACTGAAATAATGAGAGGCTATTAATATCACTGGGTTGGACGTGGAGGAACATGTAGGTCTGGAATTCTCCCTTTCTGTGTTCAAATTGGATTATGGCATCTAGATCATGGCTGATGTTTTAAGCTTGAAAGAGAAAAGGTAAGTACCGATTCATTTTATAGCAGATAAACGTCTGTGTATACCACTACCACCAAGTTAGAAAAGACATTTGAAGCCTCTTTCAGGTGCTCCCTATACTGACTCTGGAAAGAGAAAGATTGTTTTCCTTAGATACCCACTAACTGCCTGTCTTTTAGGATTAAAGGGGTGGATACCTGAGGATTATAGTTATTTTTCAGGAGTAAGAAAATAAAAATCAGGGTGATTATTAGGGGTGTGCGAAGTGGGCCCTATTTGATTCAGATTTGGCCTGAATCAGGGGCAGTGGTTCAATTAGTCGATTTGGATCACTGTCCCTGATTCGATTTGGCCAAATCCAGATCTGGAGATTTGATGCTGATTCAGAGAATCAGTGATTCGGACATAGACACAGTTTTAAACTTTTTTTTCTACATACCTCAAGGTACCAGCACGGCTTGTGAACGCTGTGATGCTGGGGTGGATGGAGCATCCCACAGGAGTGGGGGGGGGCCCTCCACGTGCTCAGCGGTGAACCTGGAAGTGGACTGGAAGTACTTCCAGCCCACTTCCAGGTCTGCCAGGGAGCCACTGAACTTCTGTGTGACACTCCATGCACCCCAGCATCGCAGTGTTCACAAGCCCCTGCTACCTAGAGGTATGTAGAAAAAACATTTAAAGCTGTCTCTATGTCTCAATCTTTCCAAATTGATTCAGAGAGATCGCAGGGTCCCCTGATTCGACTCAGAGATTTGGCTACCGAATCAGGCCAAATCGAATCAAGGACCGAAGCTTCGCACAGCCCTAGCGATTATGATTTTGCCTGGAGTGAGCTTTGCTATGCCGTCTCTAAAAAGAAAAAAGAATCTCTTCCCAACCTATAAAATATAAAAATATGCCTCCTGTGTAGCTCTCCCAATATGCACAGCTGTTCTTGACCTGCAGCCATGGATGGATTCAGGATTTTGTGAAAGGGGGTGAAGGGCTGCTTTCTCACTGTCTTAGCACCCTGGGCTAAGACTGATCACTGGGCCCAAGGGACAGAATGCTTCCCCTGTGGTCTCTGCTCCAGCTCTATAACCACAACCCCAACCTCCAGTTACAAATTCAAACCAACGTAACAGAAAGCCACTTAACTCCCCATGGACTATATAAAGGTTTTTTTGCAGATTTCTCCTCCCTTCAGGAGCAGGGTCAGGCTGTCTTCATTAAGCCTGGGCTAAGCTTATATAACTCTACCATTGTCGCAGTCACTTAATTTGGTTTGCTGCAGACAGGGTGCTAGCAGCCAGGTGCTACTAATTAACCAACAGCTGAGCTTCCTGCTGCCTGCAGGCCAGGCTCTGTAGCCATTTCATTGTACTACTTGTCTCTGCTAAACTATTTTGCTAGCAAGCATCAGGTACTCTGCTGCCTGCCCTCTCCCTCTGCACCACTGAAGTAACAGGGGTTAGGGGTCCCCTGGTGCAGTGGAACTGGCTTCTTCCAGAGTACATAGATGATGGAATAGGGTGGGCAGCATTGGGAAGACGGGTGCAGGGGGAGGGCAATCAGCAGCATACAGGGAGTAGAGTTGGGCAGCTCAATGGCTAACATGGCAATGTATTCTAAATCTAAACTAATTGCTTACCTGGTTGTTCCTCAGGCAAAAATTCCATTGAAATCAGTGAGATCTTTAACCTGAAAAAGGACTTCAAGGTTTTGCCCCCACATTTTTCCACCCAGGCTTTACTACTTATCAGCTGCCTGTAACTATCCTGATTAATCCAGCCGGTACCTTTCCTTTATTCCTTTCTAGAAGTTCTCTTTACCTCTGGGGAAAACAAATACTCCTCAATCAAAAAATCCATGACAGACTCCTGCCTGTCAGTGCAGAGGCCAATTGAGGCTTTGGAGGGTGTGACCAAAATGTTTGGCGCACGTCCTAAACTTCATGGACTCATTTTTGTATGAAAATATATATCTTTAGGTCTCTCTTTAGTCTCTCTCTGCATGAGAAATAGAGCCAAATAATCATGTGGCCACTATGCCCTAAGGCACCAAAGCATTGTATGTTCAGTCTAGTTACTATTAATAAACATGTAGCACTTCACATCTAACACTGCTTTCTGTACCCACCCCACTCTGAGGTCAATAGGCAGCACTATTCCCATTTTACAAATGGGAAGAGAAGCTGAAGATGACTTAACGGAGTTAATGTCAGGCCTGAAATTAAATGGGAAATCTCTTGTTCTCTCACTAATGCCTACTCCATGAAACCATAGCTACTCAGCTGAGGATGTAGTTCAGCTGCCATCAGGGAAAGCTAGCTAACCACTGTCCCTGAAGCCACATACCTATCAGAGGTCTTTCCTGCAGTAATGGTTTCACCCAGAGGTGTAAAAGGGCATTTCTGCTCCCTGGGAAGTGGCAGTGCAGTCAGCTGATAGCTGCAGCACTGGTTATTTTTGTGTCCCACCCCGAAGGCGATGCCTGGGGCTGCTGCCTGGTCACCCTTCCCCTCAGTTATGCTAATGGTTTCACCAAGCTCAAAATAGAGCCTTGGGAAGATAGAGCAGGAAACATGAAGGTGTGATATTTAGGACAAATTGGTGACAAGCCCTCACAATTGGCTGCTAGCACTTTACATTTCAAAGGTCAACTTTACAAGTATGATTTTTTTTTTTTAAATCAAAGCTGCTGTTTTAATTTAAATTGCTAGTCTCTCAAATTAAAGGGGTTGAGAGACAGGTTGAGTAGGGAGTTGTCTGGGCAAACTGTTCAGAGCATGGGCGACTGGTACTTCCTGACTTTGGGGAGGCACCAGATTGCCAATGGGAGGGTGGGGGCAGCCAATTCTCAACTTGGGGGAGAGGGTCCCCCAGCAGCCAGTGCACTTCCAGTTTTGCAGCTGGCATTTCCAGGGGGTGCACGGCCAATCTCCACGCATCGCCAATGCTCCAGAGACTTTCCTTTTCACCTATCCTTCACTGTAAGTTTGCTGAGTGGCAGCAGGTGAAGGAGAAAGAGGAAAGAGCAGATGAGGATGAAGGAACTGGCACAAGAATCAACAGATCAGCTGGAAAATGTTGCAAGGCCAAAGCCCCTGCCACTGCCAGTTCTTCCTTTGCATGGACCTGTATGGGCTCTGTCCAGGTATGGCCACTGTCCACCAAGGTTTCCACCCAGGTTGTAATCTGGCTTTACAGACACTGCAGCCTGCATGTCCCTGCCATGGATAGCTGCCGAGGTAGGGAGCACAGTGCTTGTGGTGTGAGAGATTCCTCCTGGTGGATTATCTCAGGAATCAAGTAAGAGAGCTGCAGGAGGAGGTAGATCAACTCAGAACCATCCATGAGCAGGAGGCCTTCATTGACTCAATGCACAAAGAGACCTCAAGCATCATAGAGAACGGACAGCCAGAGAAGGCATTGGAAGACACAGGCACTCTGCATGATGGAAACTTGTCTCCTCTAGGAACATACAGCACTCCTCTTCCAGTCCTGTAGCTGTCCAGCTGGAGAACAGGCATGAAACCCTGGCTTCAGATGAAAAGGAGCCCACTCTTGACTTGGCAGGAGAGGCCAAGCCATGCACTTGGGGGTGAGGGGGCAGACATGAAAACCAGTGCTGCCAAGAGGAAGTGATGGGTGGTGGTGGCTGGCAACTCTGTCATGCAGGGAATGGAGGCTTCTATCTGCCAGCCTGACCTGCTGGCTTGGGGTGGGGGGGTCTGCTCCTTGCCAAGAGCCCACAAGCCATCCATCCTTCTGACTACTTTCCCATGCTGCTCATCCATGTAGGCAATAATGATAATGGCAGGAGTGACCTTGAGCAGATCAAAAGTGACTACATGGCTCTGGGCATAAGGATGAAGGGGACAGAGGCCCAGCTGTCCTTACCAATCAAATCTAAAGGCCCAGATAGGAGCAGACACATGGCTACATAAAATGGTGTTGTCAGCAGGGCTTTGCCCTCTTCGACTATGAGGGGGAGGGGTGTTCCAGGAAGATAGACTGCAGGGAAGAGATGGGGTCCAGCTGATGAAGAAAGGGAAAAGTGTCTTTGTGTTCAAGCTTGCTGTCCTAGTAAAGAGGATTTTAACTAGGTTCACCAGGGGATAGAGACAAAAGCCCAGAGGTAAGTAAAGAGCCAGGGGACCTAGATAAAAACTTAACAAGGGAAAGCAATAATGGAAGCCTTAGCAGTATTCTCAGAGAGAAGATAGGACAGTTAATTTAATACCTGAAATGTTGATATACTAATGCAAGAAGTATGGGGAACAAACAGAAAGAATAGTGCCCTAGAACAAACACAGATTTATAATGTAATTGGGATTATGGAGGCGTGGTTCACATGACTGGAGTATAGTCATGGATGTGTTTAGTTTGTTCAGGAAGGGGGAAAAAAGGTAGGTGAGAAGGATGAGGTGTTGCCCTATATGATGCAGAGAAGGCTGAAGTATTTCATGACATTTTTTCCTTTAAATTCAGCCTTCGCAAAAAGGGGCATTACCAGATGACAAGTACAGTTGGCAGAAAAAACAGGAAAGGAGACAAAAAGCCTAAAGTAATAGAATAACAGCTTAGGGATTACTTAAAGAAGCTAGATGCCTTCAAGTCACCAGGGCCAGATGGAATGCAACCTAGGGTACTGAAGGAATTGGCTGAGGTAATTTTGAAGTCCTTAGCTATCTTCTTTGAGAACTCTAGGTCAGGCAAGGTAAAGTATAGTGCCCATCTTTAAGACCAGGAAGAAGGAGATATGGAGAATTATGGACTTTTCAGCCTGACCTCAATACCTGGAAAGATCATGTAGCAGGTTCTCAAGGAATCTATTGTGAAGCACTAGAGGAGGACAAGGTGATCAGGAATGGCCAGCATGAAGTCACTGAGAGGAAGACATGCCTGACCAACCTGATTTCTTTCTACAATAAGGTAACAGGCTGTGTGGATGGGGAGAGAGCAGTGGATGTGAAATACCTTGACTTTAGCAAGCATGTTTTGACACTGTCTCTCATACTATTTTAATTAACAAACTGT